TGCGAGGCAGCGAACAGGAGGAAGCGAGTGCAGTTACTCACCTGGATTCCTCCCCTTACTCATCACAGTGTTACGTTCCCCTCGGCTTTGCCCACTGACTGCTTGAGTACTGGGTGTCCTCTCTTTAAGGCGTAAAGTCAGAAGCAGTGTTCAGCTGATCTAAATCAAACTGGGCACTTTACTCAAATACCAGAGCCTTTGGGATGGAAGCTGTTGAGCTGCACAGCAAATTAAACTGCTCTTGCATGGTGGAACAGAACAGATTTCCCAGGTGAAGCAAGAAAACCTTGAGGTGGGGCTATAGTAACTGGTTGGGAGTTTGTGGAACTAATGCTCACCCCTTCCTCCTTTTTGTAGGGAGAGAAACAGTAAGACAGAAGGAGGGGGAGGGAACTTAGTAAATCAAAACTTTCGGCTGCTGTCCTACCACTAGGTTGGAAATTTGTTTCAACTGTACTGCAGTCATCGGTACCACTGCCTGCAGCATCTTTATTCTTTCCAAAGGTTTTCACTTCCAAACAGCGCACAGCGGACATCAGTGTGTGTCTGTGACTGGGGACAAACTGATGTGAGGTAAATGATGGTGTTGTATGCGTACAAAAAAAATGTTTTCCTAAATGGCCCAGCTTATAATTATGCCTAGTTTTAATATAACGAGAGTAAGTTTCTACTTGGCTTTGTGATGGTCATACTCGGTTTCCTGTATTTGCCCGTCTCCTGTGCCATGGCTCATGTTCAGAGTCAAATGCAAGTTGCTAGTGACAGTAATATTTGCCAATCCCTTCCTGTTGACTTAAACAAATCACATAAAAGACATAACTTGTGCCTTTCCTGTAGAGGCAGGCCAGTGCCTAGCACTTGTCTCACACCTCAAAGTCATGAGAATCCACAGGTCCTGCTGCAGGAACTGGTGGGGCCACAGAGCTCCTGGTCCAGGCGACGCTGATGTTCACAGGCGAGTTGTGTGAGCAGCAGAATGAGTGAAATGTGACACTCGGCAAACTCGTAGTGTCTCTCTCGGTGGCCCTGTCGCACAGTGTGCTGCGGTAGTCGTAGCTGTCCACCCTCATCCCCAGCGACGTGCGTGTGCTGTGCTTAGTCCAGAGTGTATGTGGAGTGACTACTGCCACAGGGAAAGCATAATGACCGAGTTGTACATGCCCTCCCCACAGGCACGAGCTTGGATCTGTCCTCTCAACTGCTGGTGCGCTTGTGGGAGTTTAAGTACCTTTAAGACTCTTCCCTCTTTCAATCTGAAACCGATTCAGAAGCTTGTGGGAACGAAGAGAGGAGAAATACGCCAAGTGGACATAGCGTGTGATCACATAATTTCTTTTTCTCTTGGAAATAACTTACCTATGAACTGAACCAACTTGATAATCAGTGATACTGTATTACTAAAAACAGCACACGTGGAATCTGTAATGGGATTATGTAGAGAGAGCTGTTTTTCAATCAGAACTCTTTTTGAAGCCTGTGGTCTGACAAGTTGCTTCCTAAAGCAGCAAGAATAAGACAGAAAATTGAGTTTACATTTTTGCATGGGCACTGTTTTGTCTTGTATCCCTCAGCTGAATCCTGCTGCTCACTCAGGACAGTGTACAGAAGCCACTGGATGCTTCCATGGATCTGGTTTCTCAGATCATCAAAAAAACACCAAAAATACCAGGGCATATTGTTGATTCCCATGTGCTCTGAAAGACTTAATGAAATACGTGTGAAGTCACTGACTGCTAATGCAGCTTCTAGAAGTTCTGTTCTCCAAATCCTTTATTCTGTTTCCCTAAAAGCTGCCAGGAAGTTACTGCAGTGGCAGATAACTCCATCCGTCTTCCCTTCCAGTGTGTGTTACGTTCCTGGGAAGGTTCTACCAGAGTCTAAAGGACAACAATGTTGAGTTCACACCTGCCAGTATTGAAAAGGAGCTCTTGAAATCCTGCAAAGAAGCAAAAGGCAAAGAGAACCGCCTGGTAAGTAGTAGTAGTCAATGACACTTGCCTCTTGAGGGAGTAGGTTGTAGAATACTTGGCAAACGAGGGGAAAGTAGTGCTTCTGAGTTGGTATGATACGGCTTCCTGGGGGGCTGCTTCTGAGCTCCGTGGCCAGAATTGGTCCTGTATTCTTTTTATAAGAGAGGACTTGAACCTCTTCACCTTAAAAAAAAAAGGGGGGGACTGTCAACAGACATCTTACTAGCTGACCTTGTTTGTCCCTGTTACTGAGGCGCTGGGGATTACAAAGCTTTTATTTGCTGTAGGACTTCCTTGTCCCATAAACTGTATTTGGGGTGCTATATAAGCTGTTAAAATATTTATGCTCTTTGGCTGTTTAGCTGAAAACTAAATAAAGGAAAACCAAATTGCCCTAACTAAAAACAGAGGGCAATCCGCAAATGAAGAGCTCCATGGAAAAAGCCCTGAACTCTCCCAAGAAGAAAACTGCAGGGAGACACCATGAGAAATGTAGAGGGGGAATGCTTCAGAAAGTCTTTCTCCTTGAATTAAGATGACTTTATTCTTAATCCAATTCATTTAAAAAGTTGAGAAACATCACCATCAGCCTCAACAGCTTTAAAAGCAGTGTGATGGGAAATGTCTACTCAGTACCCTGGGCTCAGGGCTAGGCTTCCTTTTGCCTGTCTGTTAGCAGTCACTTGGAAAGGTTCTGTAACAGTAAACTTCTAGCTGCAAAACCAAGCAGGGAGAGAAGATGGACAGAAAACTCCCCTTTTAGAAGTGTTTTTCCATGCATCCCCACCTCATTCTTTTCTTCCCTCTAGTGCTATTACATTGGGGCCACAAGTGATGCAGCCACCAAAATCATTAACGAGGTATCAAAGCCCATGAGTCATCACATCCCTGTGGAAAAGATCTGTGAGAAACTAAAGAAGAAAGACAGTCAGATCTGTGAACTAAAATATGGTGAGTTGCCAGCGTAAGAGGAGCTGCCCATGCTTTTCTGGGGTATGGATCATTTGGGGTAAAACAGCATACTAAAACTACTCGGTCCTAAATTCTGTATCAAGATTGCTAGCCTAATTAGGTTGCACAACCTGGGTTGCTCTCCATGAACATCGGACAGAGTTTTATGGAGATGCTCAGGTGAGATTGTCGGCTACTAACCCTTTCAGTGGCAGAGCCACTGATTTGCCTTGAAATAAGTAACTCCCAGGCATATCAGCACCACTGTGGGCAAATCACTATTTGGAATATAATATTTAGGAGAGCGTGCAGTAAAGCTCATCCTGGGGAAGCAGGCAGGTGTGCCCTATGGCCTGGGATAACATCTCTTGTACACAGGGCTCGAACCCTCAGCTAAGCTCCGCATTCCTAGCTGCTTTACGTTTGCCAGCAGCAGCAGGTTGATAAACACTTCTTTCGCACCTCCTCTGGTGTCTGCTCAGAGCATTCAGCACTCCATTTCTTAGCGCCTTCCTTGAACTGTCTCGTTCCTAGATGACATACTCTTCTTGAAAAGACTAATCTGAAGAACAGTCTTGGAAATATTTACCTCCTTCCGACTCCTTTCCTGTATCTCTGCCCTTACGTTCCCTGGAGACACCCCTTGGATTGTGGGTCTTTATACTTCTCATTTCTCATACTGATGTCCTGTTGCTTCCTAAAAAGCTTTTTGTTGTTGCCATTCACTTAACTTTCCTCTGAAATCACTATGCTACCTTTTATTTATCCAGTGGAAGACAGAATTAAAGTATTGCTGCTCACATAATAAAGGGGGTTTCAGGGCTATTGTGGAACCCCTACATCTAAGCTGAAACCAAAGTTTCTGGCTTCTAGTAATGACTTTAAGCGTAAAAACCCTTAGGCTTCTGAGAGCAAAAATCCTTTATCTGCTGTCAGAAGCCTGACTTAGACGTTCCTCACGGCCCTGGAGCCCGGCACCTCTCTCCCTCTTGCACTTCGGCTTCCTTGCCTCCCGTACCGCTCTCCGCAGCCGTCAGGCCTCTCGCCGCCGGGCTTCGCTAGTCACCCCACCGTCTCTGCACACAAA